GTCGAAAATGTTGAGCAACAGCCTCATGATTTTTATAATATTGGAAATGAAAGTGCTTACGGATATATTTTAGAAGTGGATTTGGAGTATCCAGAGGAGCTCCACGATTCTCATAAAGATTTGCCATTTTGTTCCGAACACATTTCAGCACCAGGTTCGAAGCAGCCTAAATTAATGACAACATTAAGTAACAAGCATAAATATGTACTTTATTATGAAGCCCTCAAGCAAGCCACAAATCATGGATTACGACTGACAAAAATATATCGAGCCTTAAAATTCTGGCAAAGTGCATGGCTTAAAAAATATATTGATCTCAATAGCATTGAGAGAGAAAAGGCTAAGATTCTTTGAGCTCAAGCTTTTAATAGTTTCCCTTAGTTCATTACACATACCTTTAAAATTGGTTCCATTATCCGAATAAATAACTATGAAATCCTAACCTCTTGAACTGTTACAGCTACGTATGTATATATATACACACACTGACATTCTGAATGCTCCCACTGGCCGACTAACTTTCTGTTCTGGTACAGGAAAAACCCGTACCACGTATCGGATTTCGACGTACTAAGTATAAGGTTTATCTATACTCAATAAGGTACTTTAAAGTATACTACCGTACCAAATATACCTGTACCAGTACACAGTTTTCTTGTACAGAGTATCGAAAATACTTATACTAACATATAGAACCTGTTTTTCTGGTAACAACAGTCTTCCGTGTACTTAACATCATTAAAGAAACCTGCTTTTGAAGTATAAGATCATGTAAGTTAGGTTCTGTTGTAACAACTACGACTCTTTGGTAATAATATTGTATAAATAACGTTATAGTAGGTACAAAGCTTGTTACATTATTTATTTATTAAGCTTTCTGAACAAAAAAATTAGTCCTAGAATATTAAATATCAGGTACAGTAGTATCATTATACAAATATTTTTATAAATATCGTCTTCGGCGAAGTCATACTGTTGCAAAACGTGAGCGCCATCTGTAATGCATGGATAATCTGACTCGTTGGTAGAACACGCTGAAATAAAAATTTTTTTTTTCAAGCATGCAATATTTGTACAATAATACTTAAAAGAAATAACTTAAAAAGTAACAATAGTATTTAATCTCGATAGTATAACATATGTTTTTAATGGATTATAATTTGATGGCTTATGACAATTATGACCAGTGGCAACTTCAATAATATCAAAGTTTTTAAAAATATTTTTGTTCGGCATGTTATGTTGAAAATTTTTTTTTTATTACAAAAATCTCACGTAAATACTAATAAACAGTTTATGCTGCAACTTACTTTATCCCGTTTTTTTAAGTAGTTTTCTTGTAAGAAAGAATTTGTAACAAGCAAAATAAGAAAAAAAATTAGTTTCGTTTTTATAAAAAATGAGCTTTTATACTTCTACAGAATTTATTAGAGTTTCCTTCCCAATGTGCAGAGAGCGTGGTCAAGCATTTAATCGATAATAAGAGTATAGATAAAATGCTAGTAAGTGAATGTGTGAAAAATACATGGTAAGTTCTCAAAAATCATGATATATAATAGCAATAGCCATACGTTCATCATTGTTTGACTTACAACTATAACATATAAAAAAGTCAAAAAAATTACACAGTATGGCATGCTTTATTAAGAAAAAATACGTCGGGATTTAGCAGTGAGTATTGAATTACGTATAAAGCAGTGTAAATAAGGTTTGTCTAAGCAACTAAACTTTCTAAGAGGTTAACTATGATATAGGGTACTCAAAGCTTAAATCTAGGTAGTTTTTTGTGACACAGTACATGAAAGATTAGGATTCACAAATACTTATGCGTATGGTGATAATATTACTAAAAATGACGACATTTATTTTGTACTTATATACAAAAAATTAAAAAAAAAATTTTAGTCTTCACAAAAAAAAAATTAAATAAAACGTAAAGAAAAACATCAATGCGCAAAAAATAAAAGAAAAAAAAAAAAAAAAAAAAAAAAAAAAAAAAAAAAA